TATATATTTTCTTCTTTATTATTTTTGTCGGAACAAACGATTGAAGAAATGTCTATAAATATTATATAGAAATTTTCTTTTCGTGACTTTCGCGCGTCGTATCGTGTCTATTTTTTTTGTGTCACGCGTCCTCCTCCCGTGTGACGGATCTTGTTACGTCAAATTTGTTATATTGAAATGATTTATTATGTTTTTGTTTGATAAATTTATTGGTTAATTTTTGTTCCTTTTCTTTTTCTTTTTTTCCCCTTTTTACATTTTTCTTTTTTGTGTCTCTCTTTTTTTCTTCTTTTGGAATAACGTATATTATACACACGCGTAAAAAAAAAAAACAAAAAAGAAAATTCAATTCATAACCGAGAATCACAAACGAACGTATGGCGATACTATTTAAAGTGCCCATAAAGAGGAAAGATCACACTGCGTTTATGTACGATAAGTTTATATACCAGTACTATATATATATATATATGTGTATATATAATACATACTATAATATATATGTATATGTATATATATAGTTTTATGAAGACGATTATAAAAGGAAAAAAAAAAAAAAGGATATTACGACTCCTCGTCGAACATTTTGTGAAAATATAGAGAGGAAGAGAAAAACTGAAGAAATTGAAGCAAAATAATAATAATAATAATAATAATAATAATAACAATAAATAACACCGCTCCAATTTAATGTTACACATAAATATTATGTGTATACGTGAGAAAAAGAGAGAAATTTTTTGTCGTTGTTTTTCTATTATTACATTGTGAATAATAATTAAAAAAAGAAAAAAAGGAAAAGTATTCGTTGGAAATCCATTTTTCATGTTGCGACGAAATCGATAGTTAGTAGTTAATTTTACTGCCGTAATGTCAATCGCGATTAAAAAAAAAAAAAAAAGCAAAGAAAAGAAAAAGGGGGCATGAATGATACCGATGTGATTGTTAAATATTATTTCGTAAACCCGAAGGGGAATCGTTTACCTGCCAATTAAGATATTGTTATTATTATTATGCGTTTAAAGATGAATTAAAATATTTCGAAACATTTTTTATCACAATAATAATTATAAAAAAAAAAAAAAAAAAATATCACAATAATAATTATAAAAAAAAAAAAAAAAGCAAGAAAAAATTAGTTAAGAATATTTTCTATTGTAGCTTTTTAAAAAAAGGGAAACATTAAAATAATATAATGGGTACCATATTTTCTTTTTTCTCTAATGTTGTATCTGTAGAGCGGTAGGGTTCAGGCTTACACTTATATTTATATTTATATATACAATTTTGTGTTGGCGATAGATAGGAATTAAACTAATATGAGTAATAAAATGAGTGGGGGTTGTAATAAGAGGGAGGGTGTCAGTTGAAAGAAAGAAAGAAGGAAAGAAAAGAAAAGAATTAAAAAAATAAATTAGTAAAAGTAAGAAGAAATGGAAAGGTTGGAAGGTCGATAGCAAAAAAAAAAAAGATAGAACTAAAAATTAACGGATAACACAGTGCCTTTGCATTCGGTGATTATCTTTTATAGTTTTCTTTTTTTTTTGTTTTCTCGTCAACCAAATTATTATAAATCTTATTTATTATGCGAAATTTATAATTGAAAATATAGAGTATATATATAAATATATATAAGAACACATTTATTATTTTTATATTAATTTATTTAATAAGAATATCATGTTGTATTTTATTCATTTTTTTAAAGAAAAAAAAAAAAAAACATATTTACCAGAAATATATCCTCATTTTTGAATTTTAGAATTCATTGTGGAATATATTATTATATCCAACTACGCGTTGGACTTTCCGAATGCAAAGGATTTATAAAAGAACACAGCGAATTCGACGTTAACGTCAAGAATAATTATCAAAAAGTCGCAGCATTTAAAGAGAGTAATTGTAAGCATATAACATTGAGTGTATACCTTCCGTATTAACTAATCAAGTTTAGAAATTATTTGTTTGTAGTATACACACATACGTATATACTATGGTCATTGATTAGAAAATATTTGTTTCTTATTGAAATTTATGTACATTTATTATAGTCACGTTTATTAATATCAACCGGCAGACTCTCTCAAATTGTTATGTACGATACGTTGGAAAAAGAAAATAGAAAAAGAAAGAAAGAAAGAAAGAAAAAAGAAAACACAGAGACAGACAATCGTTCGTTAATTCGTTAATTCCTATAATTTGTTTAAAAAATCATGGGGAAGATCAACAAATTTTTCTGATTAAATTTCGAACAATTTCGAGATCTGTGTTAGAATTTTTATTTTCTACGCGTATCGGGTGCTCGTAATTGTATTTTTCATTCATCGATGAATGGAATGATGATAAAATAGAATTTGAAAATAGAATTAGAAATCTAATAAGAAGGAAAATGAATTGCCATCGAAGGGAGAATGTTTAAAATAAGAATAAACTGAGAGCCTGATGATTTCAAGTTCGCTACAGTGTTGTTAGATGTCAAATATGAAAAACACAACGCATTATAAAGAAAAAAAAAACAAAACAAAAAAACAAAAAAGAGTTCTTTTTTTTTCATTTTATATTGCTCTGCTGTCATATCGATCGTTTCAGACTCCTGTTATAAACATTTTAATTCTAAAACAAGTTTAAAAGAAAAACAAAACAACACAACAAAGAAATAACCGAAACGGAATAGTTGATTTATTTTTGTCGATACGTAAAACAATAGGATAGAAATAGATGATGGAAATTCACGCGTCAAGGTCTTCGTCAAGTTATAATATCACGAATAAGTTATTTTTTTAAATAACACGAACAACAAATTCTTTAATTAATTATCATTTGAAATATATTCCGGAGCATATTGTTAAATAACCACATAGAACAAGAAAATAAATAAGAGAGCAAGAAAGCGCAACCAAATTGTCTCCCACATTCGACGAACGAGTTCTTCGCAAATTTTTCTTAAGCGTAAGACAACTTGTCTCCTCGACGAATTTAGAGACACTCTGGTGCAATTATGTATAGGTAAAAGATTAAAACAAAGAAGATTAAGAAGAAAACATGATTGAGACTGTTGTGTGTAAAACATGTTTGCAACGATATTGCGATGAAAGACTTCTGTGTGTGTGTGTGTGTGTGTGTTATGTATGTCTCTATTTGTGTGTACGTGTGCGTGTGTGCGCGTATAATAACGGAGTGTCCACGCGAGATCACACCGTTTGTAAGTTAATTGTAAATGTAAATTATTTTTAGGTACTACCTTGCAACAACTTACATACACAACACGTACTACACATAATAATACATATGAATTACTATTTTATGTGAATTTTAAATGACTCTGTTAAAAATCCGGTGAAAGAGAAGAAAATTTTTTTTATTCTCTATTATTTTTCTTTTTTTTTTTAACATTTATTTACGATTTTTAAAAATTCACATAAAAAACTTTCTCTCTCTCTCTCTCTCTCTCTCTCTCTCTCTCTCTCTATCTATCTCTCTCTCTATATATATACATCATCTCTTTCTCTCTCTCTCTCACACGTACTTTCGTTTACGTTTTTTCATTAATTTGTCGTAACTCGAAGAGAGAAAAATAAAATAAATAAAGAAAGAAAGAAAGAAAGCATCGTAAATATGGGGGGGGGGGTGCCGTTCCGTATTCGGTTGTAAATATAGCGTATACTAATAATGATAACGATAAACGATAGCCTTAGGGATATTGCTAATATTATTATCACTATTAATATTAACTACTATTATGCGATAGCTTTAATAATTAATATTTATCATGCGATCGACAGTTAAAATAAAAATACCAACGACATTATGCCTGTGACTATTTTACTAACCAATAATGGTTGCACACGATGAAACAACAATACATCGGAAATTTATGTTAATAACTATACATATATATATATGTATATATATATATATATATATATACATATTAGAAAAAGAAACTCGATGGAAGAGAGGGGATAAAAAATCTGTTCTTATCGAATGAAATTTGAAGTAAAAAAAAAAAGAAAGAATCTAAGAAAAAATTAAAATCGAATTAGAGAGAAAAATCTTTTTATATCACATCCTACCGATTCACCATAATTCAATGATATTATAATGATATAATCCATCTCGTATTTAATAAAAAGATACAAATAAAAATCAAACACAAAGTTGAACGAGATTATTCGATTATTAAAGAGGAGAATAGAGAAGAAAGTAATTGTAATGAAATGATGCCATAATTATATATATATATTTTAAATGATAAGAAAGTTGATGATAAGAGCGAATCGATCGGCTAAATGATCGACAATACCATTTTGTATGTTAAAATTTAATTGATCGTTATTTTTCCTATATTTTTTTCCTTTCCGAAAACAAACAAAATATTCATTTATAATAATATCGTTAGAATATATTTTGTGTTATTACGTTTTGAAATAAAATTAAATCAAATGAAATTAAATTTAAAAATAAAACAAGAAGAAGAAGATGAAAAAAAAATAAAATAAAATAAGAGGGAAGAGTATAAAATGTAAAGAATTATCGTTTTACACGATCTTGATCAGTTATTACAAATATGCGAAATATATATATAAAACACGTCGGAATGATATAATAAATAATATTACATTGTCGCGGGGAGGGAGGGAGGGCGGGGTGGGGGTCGTGTGCACGAGTTGAAGAAGAGACACAACATCTTGATAAATAAAAAGAATTTTCTCACGAGTTTAACTATATATATATATATAAAGTCAGAAAGAAGAGAGCTTTCCCTTTCTCATGAAGAATTTATCTCTGCTCGCTAATCTACAACCAGTACCGTAAGACGATACGTTTTTATCCGTCCGGTGAAACCGGTATAATAAATATAATAATAATAATAATAATGATAATAATAATATAATAAATCAAATCGTCGCTAAACAAATTTTATTCTTTTTTCATTATAAATTTTATTCGATCAATAATTTTTATATTTTTTTCCTTTTTATTATTTTACCAATCGCGAATCGAATAAAAAAAATTATCTTTCAATGTATATAAAAATGTTTATGATTTATTGTTATTAATATATAAAATTGAATAATTGTAAGATAAATGAAGCAACTTTTTAGGACGAGATGTAATATATAATATATTATAATAATTAAAATATTAAAATAATTAAATATTATATATTCAATTTAGCAATTTTGAAAAGTTTTTTTGAGTTTCGAGAAACACAAAAAAGAAATAACCTTTTATTTACCAATAATACACACACACACACACGCATACGTGTGCGCGAAAAATCTTTTTTATGATTATCATAACTAACGTTGTATATTCGAGCAGAGATAGGACGAATATTTTCTCATAATGGGGGAAAAAGAAAACCTTTCCCTTATTGTTAGATGTAATATTAAAGCATCTACGACAACACAAAGAAACGGAAAAATATTTCTTTTTTTCTTTATCTGTCGTTATTTTTCTTCTCCAAAACCCAGCCACCCCTTACCACCATTGAAGTGTACCCCACCCCATAAAGAATCTTTCTTTTTCTCTCATTTTGTATTTTTTGAAATAAGAAGAAGAAACGTGTTATGGCGTTCGCGCGCGAAGCAACAACAAATAATGGTGCTGTTAATTTGTTCGTTAAAACTAAGGAGCTTGTATATTTTTTTGCGTCTCTCGTTTGTAAGATGATAATCATTTACAAATAAAAAAAAGAAAAGAAAAATAAAACACGCGAGCAAAATGTCATCATTACGTAAATCGGCATTATTTTTATTCTTACGTACACACACGTACATACATACATACATATTCATACGTCAGATGAATAAGAAACATACGAGCACGTGTTTGCATTTAAACATCACCGATTAAATAATATGCATTGATTCGTTGTACGATATATAATCTAAAAAATCAAATTATTTTTATTGTACGCGTATAAAATACGTTGTTATTTATATATGTATATATTTACATGATTTATTTTTTTTTCTTCTTTTTTTTTTTTTATTCTTTTAAACATTAACACGTGTTTTTTTCTTATATCGAAATTAATTTCTAAATCTTAACGTGGCATAAAAGGAAATAATATAATTTTTTCTTATATATTTATATATATATGTATTGCGATATTTAAATGAAAAAAAAAAAAGAGAAAAAAAGAAAAAATATGCTCACTATGTACATAATCAAGTATGGCGATGATATACAGGATGTGTTTCATATTATGTTGAATAATGAACAAAGGGGAAGGAGGGACATAAAAACAATGTTACAAAGCATACGTTCTATTTGATTTAGAGCTTTGTTGAAAGATTATTGTGAAACACATAAGTATATATTTAATTATGAAACAATATAAAATAGGGCACACTTTGTATTCATCCTTTTACAAATTTTAATCACACCTTTTCTCACACCTATCTCAAATTTAGAATCAACAAAGGATTTTTCTTTCTTCGAATGTGTGTGGGGTTTCATCCATTCATTTAACTTCACACTTCAATGATTTAACGAGAATCATTAATCCAATATAATTAAGGATGTTAATTGACACAGATTTGTACGAATTTGTATCGTTGTTTTTGTATCCCTTGTTTAGTTTAGAAAAAAAAAACAAAGAAAACGACACCCTGTATAATTAATTGATAAATTATAAAAGTAAAATTGTGTGAAAAAATAATTACTTTTTCACTCTATCTAAGGCACATTTTAATTTATAATATAATTCGTAAATCGATGAAACTTACAATTAGACAAGGCTTTCATTTTCTTTTTCAACGAAAAAGAAGAAGAAGAAGAATAAGGAGACGAGGACATAGAAAATTAAAATGTACAAACAAAAGTAATAATTCTTCATAGTATACTGTCCTTGATGACGTTCTCTGATGCGTCAAATGCCTTTTTCCGGTTAGCTATAGCATTAGTTAACTTTCTCCTAGGTCCAAGCGGAAGTTTGAGGGCTGCTATGTCCGCATCGGTGAGTAACATCAATGCTTCCAAATCAATTTGTTCGGCTTCTAAGATCGTGTGTATTGATGATAAATTATTTGCAACTAAAAATCTTTGCAGGGGTGTCCATTCCTCGTCCGTCTCGTCATCTTCTGTTTAAAAAAAAGAAAAATTGAAAAAGTTATAGAAACAAATATACAATTTTAATATTACAATTAGAAATATTTTAATTTTTAATAGTATTACGGGATAACAAATTACATTTTTATGGGAACGAACAATAAAAGGTGTTTTTGAATATAAAACATCAGATTTTTGGTGTTAATTGTTTGTTTGTTTTCTTTTTTCTTTTTCGTTCAATTTCAAGATAAACCTCTTTTAAGTATTTTTTTGTTGTTCAGGTAACACAAAAGTTACAAAGGATTCATGCTGTTCTTTTCAGCAGGATAGTATTCGATTTGTACAATTTGTTTCGCTTATTGTATTCAATTTTATTTGTTACTGCGTGAAAAACAGATTATCATTTGGAATAAATTTTCTATTTTTGATGTTTTGTAAATCAACATATTATCTAAAAGAGTCTTTTAAAAAGTTGTCTTTGACGAGTCAATGGTGAACCTTTTGACCTGAACAAACAGTAGCTTTAAGTAGTAAAGTATCAACGATTATAATAGTGTATTGTTAACGGTGAAATCTAATGATAGACTTTTTAGGTAGAAATTTAACACCAATATTTTGAAAAAGAATGATGCGATAGAAAATTCGTTTCAATACAAATGGAACTTCAATTTTTATTCCGTAAAAGAAACGAAGAAAAAAGAAATGGTCATAAATGTTTTCAATTATGTAAACATAATTTGTTATCCGTATACAATATTATTTAATTAAATTATTACTTACTTGAATATTTTAAATATCAACAATTTTATTCTTATTGAGATAATTAAAAAAACAGTCGATTTTTTGTGTGTATCGACTATATATAATTATATCATTGTATTTTGTATTTAAAAAAAAAAAACAACGTGATGTTAATCAAATTAATCTTCTTTAGTTTTGAAAACAGATATACAATTCACGTGTCCATTATTTCGAAATTTTTTCATCCTCACAGAAAATGCATGCAATCGAAAGCAAAAAAAAATAAAAAAAGTAAAGAAGAAATTTATAAAAAATGTAAAACACGAACTTACCCGAAAGCAATTCATCGTCCCACATACTTTGCCTACGTGCTAAGCTACCCGCACTTCCTATACTAATCTCCTCGTTTTGGCCATTTGCAACAATCCTGTGACCATTCGTAGAACCATTTATCGAACCATTCACGCACGAACCATTACCGTTCTGCAAATGAACGTCTGTTTGCGTGACCGGCAAATTGTCGAGCGTTGCTGTTATCTGAAAAGAAAAAAAAAAAAGATACAAATAAAAGAATAAAAAGATAATTGAAACATTTGAAAGCGTTTGATTTGATTTTGATTGAAAATTTGTCTAATTCGTTATAATCCAATAATTCATTGTTCAGTTGTGTTGAGTTGTATGTCGAAGAGATATTAGAAAAAGAAAATAATTAACTTTCAATTTAATAAAAATTAATCATCCCATTAATTACGATAAACCTAAACAACAATATACAAGATGTTTTATTATTGTCGCGAACGGCGTCGAAGCATATAACCATTTAAGATTTAACAGCGTGAAAATCGTTTATTACAAACCCTGTATAATAAGTTCGTTCCTCGTGACGCTAGAGTAATCACGAAAATGGAACGCAAACGTGTTTTCCGTAATCATTTTACTCGCAGAGAAAAACAATTCGAATTTGTGCTTGCCCTTGGGATCGGTATCTTCCGGAACGTGTTTCGTGGATTTTTAAATCATTCATGATATATATAAATATATAAATTTTTGCGAATAATATTTAACATGAAAATAATCCAAATAAAATATGATAAACGTGAGATTATTGCATAAGAAATATGTTATAACGTATAATAATTGATAATGATTTAACGCGTTATAATTTACCTTTGTAAACAATTATATTCTCATAAATTTATAAATATTTCATTTAAATGTGTATAATAGTGAATAATATAAAATTGAAGTATAATTCCAGAGATATCAATTGGAAAAAGCATAGCTTACCGGTCTTCTGAATGCCACCGATCCAAAACCAGGTCGATCAAAGATACTGCCTTGTTCACGAAGGAGTCCAATATCTCTGACAATCTTATTATTAGATCGTTCCTCATCTTGCCCATCTTCATCCTCGTCTTCCTCGTCACATGAACGATCACCTAAAAGATCCGGTGTACTTTGAGCCTTGCTTAAAGTACCCCAAACATCTGCTATCTTTCCTCTTCTTCCAATCTGTTGAGCTTGTGATTCGTAAGTTCCCACGTACATTATTTCGGAATCCCTTCTAAGACCAGTCAAACTACGTACAGATTTCCTACCGTCTACTTCGATCTATGAACAAAAGAAACAAAGAAAAAGGAAACTAAATAAATAAATCATCGTTTTCGAGATATATATCCATAAAAAACAAATTATATCATTAAACAAAAACGCGTCAAACTTACTTCGATTATTTTGAAATCATCTACAGCCTTTTTGGCCAAAGCTTTTCTACAAACAGCACTGCCATGTTTCTTCGTAGTAGTACCAACTATATCGCTAAATGTTGGTGACGGTTTGATTCGACCTTTAAAAGTCATTAACGCAGGTCTATGAGCTAGAATATTGGTCTCGTGTAAAGTATCCAGATCGGATTTCGATCGATCCTTCAACAATTTCTTTTGTACCTTTTCTGCTTTTACCTCGGCCATCTTTTGTTTCTTCATGTATTCCTTCAACCTTGTTAAATGTAAATGGTTAAACATTGTTAACCCTTCTTTGCATGATTTTTTCTTTTTTTTTTTAAATAAATCAGGGTGATGTAATTAATGCTCTAGATTAAAGGAAAAAATATTTAAAAAGAATCCTAGTGCTATTTTTTGACAACTGCGTTTTGTTGTACGCAATAGTCGCTTAAAAAGTTGCCAGCAACAACAAATATACAGTACAAGGGTTTTSAGTATCTTTTTTTGTTGACTAAATATTATGATTAAAATTTCCATCATCATGCAAAGAAGGGTTAAGTCAAAAAAACCACACACATATATATACACGTGTGAATAGAAATAGAAATAAAATAAACAATCACCTTTTTTCGGCATCCTTTTCAGCCTTTTCCCTTAATAATCGACTCTTTTTTCGATTATTCAATTCCTGATCGGATTGTGCCAAATCTAAAAATTGCAATATCCTTTCTCTACCATTGATCGCGGCTAATTCTCTAGCAGAATGTCTGTCTATGTCCAATGACCAAATGTTGCAACCAAATTTGACGAGAAATTTGACGCAATATTCGTGACCCCTTGCTGCTGCTAGATGAAGGGCTGTATTACCGAAATAATCGCTTTTGTCCGGGTCACCCCTGCCAATAAAAAAAAAAAAAAGCTCAGGCTAAACTTCAACAATGAGGGGTTGTGAAGGGGAAAGGGGGAGTCGGTCTCCCTTTTGCGTGCTCGTATTTCCCGTCACGCGAGCTGGACACGCAAAGTTGAACCGAAATAGTTTGCATACGAATTTAAATATTAACATCTATCTCTCTGTGTATCTGTGTGTGTGTGTGTTGTGTGTTTGCACATTTAAATGAGTAGAACAAATTTTAAATTAAAGCCAAAAAAAAAAAGAAAAAAGGAAAGAAAGAATATTAAAAAATAAAAAAAGTAAGAAAAAAAATATATTATAATAAGTTATGATATTTCACGAAGAGATCACGATTGCTATCCGATCGGTTCGATTTCGCGATAATTACGCGTGCAGGAGATCCGAGACAGTTCGGTCGGCCGGTGGTCAGACTTCGGAATACCGGTTTTGTGAGGCACGCGTGCGAATCGAGTCAGATCTCTAAGGTACACACCTTTAAAGTTCCTGCTTTCGAATCGCGAGTTATCTCTTTCTCTCTCTCTCTCTCGCGGTAATTCTTAAGCCTAACCCCCCCCCCACCCCCTNTTTTCTTTCTTTTTATTTTCAAAATTACGCGATTTATTTTGTAACACATTTTTCACTCGTTCCGCGTACTTAATGTGTCTTCGAATAAATTATAAAAAAAAAGTGCATTCATTTTAAAAAGAATTCGATCGAATTTTTAGCAGTAAAATAATTATGACAATGGACAGTTGAGTCAACACGCAAATAAATAAAATTTATTTTATAATATTCAATAAATTATACGATTATAATTTTGTCAATTTTATGACTAACAATCTCAGTCCACCAGTTTCATAATTACCTAGACACAATATACGTTTTTAACCAGAATTATTTGTACGAATTATTTTTGGAATGTTTCAAAAATATTAAGTATACTCGTTGAATTATCAAGAAAGAAATCTAATATGTTAACTCCCTAGCTATTTAAACATAAATTTTAATTATTCTCCATGTTTGGAGGACACAAAGTTTCACGGATCGCGCGCTACCGGCTCGTTCCATTCCGTTCCGTTCCGTTCCGTTCCACTCGTGTTTTGTTTCGTCCACGCTCGATTGTTTTTCGTTACCGTCCGTCCGGCCAGCCGCAATTTCCGGTGCCAGATATCTCTCTCTCTCTCTCTCTTTTTCAATGGAGATATAGAAAATTATATACAATGGTATTTCCGTTCATACTTTAACATCTGTCACAGAATTTGTTCGTTTATTCGTACGTTCCTTTGAATAGAACAAAAAGAGCGGGAAAAATATTTGAAATTGGCGCGTTAGTTATTTCCTACCCGATTCCGCCATATTCGTTTTGAATTAAAACGACCTCGAACCGAATTCGCGTTAGCGATCGTTCAAGGTCAAACGTCGAGAGAATAAAAAAAAAAGAAAACTCACGCACCTTCTCGAATTTCAAAAGTATCTTCTTCCTCTATAATGCTAACACATCATCCATCCTTTCATTTACTTGATTCCGTTAGAAGGGAATGGCACCTCTCCCTACCATAACTCTTGCGAAAACGCTAAGATTCAATGTCATTACTGTTTAACGAACCAATCATTTTTGTTTTTTTTTTTTTCTCTTTTTTACCACAGTAATAAAGACGACACATACAAAAATGTATAATTTATGATGAAGCTAAAATCAAATATTATTTACTTGCCATAATTTCAAACATAAATTACAGATAACTAAAACTAAGAATTAACGTTTTTATCTTCTCCCACATTTGAGACATTGATATTCGAGTTGATGTTCGAGAAAGAAAACCGTAAAGAAACAGAAGCCATTTTTCCCCCTATTTTCGAGTATCACACTTCAACCGTACGAAATCGAATTAAAACAAATCCATGATATTGCAACTTAGAAAACTTATTTGGTATCCCATTATCGGATATAAAAATGAATTAAATGGAATATATAATGAGATGATTAATGAAATATAGGAATAAATTTAGCGTTAAAACGTTCATGAAAGATATCGCGTAATTAAGAATAAATATGTTTTTAATCGATGAAAAAGTCGTGTTTAGTATAATCGTATATAAAAATAATATCATTCGGGGCGTGAAGTTTAGAGGTAAGAAAAAAAATGTATAGATAGTTTTAAACTGATTTATGGGATAGTTTTTATACGCATAGTTATATGATATGAAAAGTAAACGTTATCGCACATTCTAATATACGTAACCGTTAATATTGTATTTAACTCTATGAAGTAGTAGAGTTAATGCGTTAGTGAAAGTTAGCCGGCGGTTGTTGCGTCGTGTGCGCGCCTTAACATGCTGACTTTTCAACTTATTTTCAATCCACTCCTCCTCTTTCAGTACTTTAAACTATGCGGAACAACATAAGCGTCGACTATCATTCTCACACACACACATACACACAGAGTAGAATTTTTCTTTTTTATTATAAGTAGAATTATGAGGTATAGAGATTATAAACGACGAATCAGGAAAACATTTGAAATAAAAAAAAGAAAAAAAAACAATTGTGTCGCGTAAAAGAATCTTTCCTCGAAATTGTTTCAATATAATACTTTCTCTAGAATAAATAAAATAGAACAAAAAAGTAAGAAGTTATTCTTCTTTAACGTATACCAAAATGAATATAACCTCAAAAATAATTTCAATTTTCCCGCGTATTTTAAATATCGACAACTTCGTGGTGTCGATTTTTCGGTCGCATCTAATTTCACTTTCCAAAAGAAGTATAACTTCATAAAGAAGGAGAAGAAAATATTGTTCAACTATTTTGAGAGAAAAGAAAAAAAAGAAAAGAAAGAAGTAATATAATATTATAACGAGCGTGCAAATATAAAAGAAGAAGAAGAATAATAATAATTCGTCTCGTTTGTAAAGGAAGATTTTCTTTCTACAAGGTTCGAAGCAGTGAGTACGAGCATACCCTCTGGCGACGAGCAGTCTCAGGGCATCTATGTGACCTTCGAAGGCTGCCCATAACGTTGGGGTCATTCCACCTTCGTCTCGCGTGTTGCAGTCCTTCTTCGTTGCTTCCTTCAAAATTTCCAATGCACCATCTCGTGCAGCCCTTTCAATGGAAAAACATCAATAATAATTAGTCATACCAAAACGAATCAAAATTAATCGATTAGGTTAACGTCTAATCCGCCATTTCGTTTATCACATATATTCCACCATCTTATTATCCATTACTTAACACTAGATTTACGAATTGAGTCAATTTGACTCATTTAAAATTTTGTTTTTGCTACATGTATATAAAACTTAAATATTATTTATTAAAAACATACGTTGGTTTTTTAGTTACGCAAATATTAATTCCTTCATTCAAACAATATTTGTAAATCATTAAAAATCTAGTATTAATCGTAAATTATTATCAAAAGAAATAAACACGAATAATAAAAATCATTTATACAATTTCGATTAAATCAATGTAAATCATAAATTATGATCTCAACGTTTATTCTCGAAATTACGAGAATACTTTAGGTGCATAAAATAAAATGGGAGAAACCAAAAAAAAAAAAGAAAAAAAGGGAAAAAAATCCTAGCGTTCATAATGCGCGACAATTGAAGTTAACGAGCGTGCAATAAAAAAATTTCTTTCGTGCATTCTAATTCTTCGATTATTTGACTTGAAGAAATAACAGGCTCAGTGGCTGTCATCGAGAAGGTGTCTCGAGAGTACCTTTCGCTAAACTCTTTACACGTTCTCGTCTACTCAACACCCAATTACGTTTAATCTCTCGCGCCAGGTCCCTGATAATCTCTCTTTTAATTATGGATTAATTCGTTCGGCTCTTTACTCTAAACACCTTGTCGAACACGCTCCAACGATTTTCTGCTCCCTCGTTCTCCTCACTTTTCTATTGAAGCTTTCTCCGTTCTCTTACATATATATATATATATAATAACAATGTCTCGTTAAACAAAATTAAAATTTTTTTTTTGGTAATTAATCAATCTCCTATTGTATATAAAAAATATTTCTCAGCTATAGGGATACGACAAGGCTTTTATTTTTTTGTTTTGTTTTTTTTTAAATAAAAAAGAATTTATATATTTTTATCATTTGATATTTCATATTACACACACAAAAATCATATAATAAAAGAAAGAATAATAATAATAATTGCTCGTCGTTGATTTAAACACACATACAAGAAATATATCATACAAAGCAATTAGATTTTAATTGCATTGGGAATACGAAACTAGGACGTTAAACAAAATTTAATTTTTTTTTTGGTAATTAATCAATCTCTTATTATATATAAAAAATATTTCTCAGCTATAGGAACACGACAAGGCTTTTATTTTTTTGTTTTGTTTTTTTTTAAATAAAAAAGAATTTATATATTTTTATCATTTGATATTTCATATTACACACACAAAAATCATATAATAAAAGAAAGAATAATAATAATAATTGCTCGTCGTTGATTTAAACAAACATACAAGAAATATATCATACAAAGCAATTAGATTTTAATCGCATTGGGAATACGAAACTAGGACAAAATAGTATACTCATGAAAAGGGACAAAGGAAGTGACACGAACTCGTACGAGATTATATTCGAAAAGTTTTAACGAGTTTCACGCTACGAGGTTTATTTCCAGATACCATACCACCTCCTCCTCTTCCTACTCGTAGATATCATTTACTGAGAATTTATCCTGACATTTTCATATCTACCTACCAACCTACCTACCTACCTACCTACCTACCTACCTTCTTCTATTCGTGACGATCTAGATCGAACCGTAAAGAAAAACAAACAAACAAAAATAATTAACTAACAAGTGGATAATAAGAATCGGAAGAAATGTTATCAGATCATCGAATTTATATTAGATTCGTTAAATAAGATAAAACTGGAATTTACTGTAAGGTTTATTAGATTTTTTTAAATGGTAATAACCTAAGTATATGCATAATATACTATAGACAATTTTTGTGTTTTGCTTTTTAATTTATAATGGAGAAACCAGAAATTTATTTGGTCTGACTACGAGGTATTTATTAAATATATATGCGTGTATGTGTATGTGTGTGTGTGGTGGTGGTGGTGGTAGGCTATGAATTTCTAGCGCATTGCGCAGCCATTGGCCAACGAATGGCCCTAAGAACGCGAGAACCTGGTAGAACTCGAAAGAATTTGCTAGGGCGGCATACACACAACCGTGCTGCTCTAGAGTTTCCGATATCGAATCGTAAGTCGACTAATAAGAAACCAGCCAGAGCGGTTTCAGAACACTGCTAACAAAAGAACTACAAAATATATTATTCCATTAAGACTCTGGACGATGATATCTAACGTCAACGACACGGCTCGTTTAACAGCAAATAACTAACTATTTGCGATGGATTGCAATACTTATCATCTTCGTGATATCGGGCAAAAAAAGTCATAAAATATAATCGAAATATATATAATAAAATAAAATAAAATAATCGTAATATCTTATTTTTGGTCCTGGTCGATTTAATATATCTAAGAAATACGATAGAACGATGTGAATCATTGGTTATTTAACAAATTATTGAATCCAATATGGCGGACTGGTTATTTCAAAAAAAATTGTCTCTTAAATTACATATTTAAATATTTATTATATATATTTGCATGTGTTATTATAATTATTGTGTAATAATATATATATTATATTTTGTCTCATATTTATTTAGATTTATTTTTCTTTTTTGCAAAGTATTATATATGAAAAATCCAATATGGCGGATATATCGTTTCAAAATTTTCTTTATGAAAAACGTATATATTTGAATATTATTTAAAAAATATATGTTTTGCATGTAATATAATTTTTGTTCTTGTTTTATATTTTGATATCTCACACGTGCCATCGAACAAGCAAACACGTATTACTCTCTCGAAGGTGTTGTGTTGTTAGACGGACGATAAATTTACGCTTTGAATGAAACAAAAGCAACCTATCTCCCTCGTGCATAAATTCCGCGTGCGCGTGCTCGATGCACACGCACTTGCAATAAAGCAATATCTCTCTCTCTCTCTCTCTTTCTCTTTCTGTTTTATTAGTACCATCTCACATGCTTCTAGGTAACTAGGTATAAGAATATATATATATTTTTTTTTCATTCTTATTATATTTCCTTCAATATACCATTTCCCACAATTATTTCTTCGTGAATTCAATCTCACTGATTCGTCGTAATTGGGTTATTAGAAATTTTATTTCATATTATTCATTTATTTGATTTATTAGACGCAAAAATTAGATACCAATTAGACACAAAAAAAAAAAAAACTAATAATAATATATATATTAACGAGATAAAATTCTTGGAAAAAACTTTCGTTCGAGCGTTTCTTTAAACTTGTGAAGAAAAAAAGAAAAAAAGAAAAGAAAAGAAAAAAAGAATATTACGAATAAATGGGAGTAAAATTGGCGGGAAAAATAAACTACACCTCGTTAACTCGAAATGGACGGTAAAAGAAAAGAGAAAGAAGCAAAGAGAAAGAAAAGATAGAACACAAAAATGATAATAATTTGTGGTAGAAACGCGATAATAGTTTCATTCAAGCATAACACCCATTATATTGTTGTTACAAAAGATCGGACATCGATTCGAATCCATAAAACTTCCCTTAACATTTTTTCTTTTGTATTATTACAACAATCTCTCTCATTCAACATTTCTCTCTCTCAATCATCTTTTTCGTTTGTATTAAATTATTAGAAAAACCACACGGAGATAAATAAAATAAAACAAAACAATATACAACGGAATGATCTACCCGGATGATTTTCAGTCGAGCACATCTTTGTCATCGTCATCGTCGTCGTCATCGTCGAGGCTAAGCGAACGCATCGGAGAAAATAATAATAATAATAACAACAACAAGAAGAAGAAGAGGAAGAAGAAGAAGAAGAAGAAGAAGAAGTAAAACCCCCTTGTGTAGTAGAAGTAAGGAAGGTATATAAAGCCAGTTCCTTGCAAAAGGAAAACTCACTTGTGAAACCGCTCCGATGTCATATTTCTTCCTTCTCCTTGATATTTTATTTTATCCTAGAAAATATATTTTTCAAATAAAAATATTATATCGATCGATATTTAATACACCATCCTGTCCCCCCCCCCTCCGTGTTTTTTCTTTTCTTTTTTCTTTTTATTCCTACAACACACGGTTCGAATTCCTCGTCCTTGTTCGAAGAGAATAATTTAAATAATCTCGAACTAAAAAATTAAATAATTTATTCGCGATTTATGAAAGAAATGATAAAGGTAGAAAAGGAGTGAGTAAAAGGGGGACAAAAAGGGCGGCTGGGGGGGGGGAGGGAAAGAAAAAAATAAAAGAAAGATATAAGAAAAATAGAATCGATGATGGTGATGGTGGTGGTGATGGTGGCCTTCGGCCACGGAGCCGAAGTTGGACGTGCGTCGAGTATGGCGTCCACCGATAGACTGCTTTAAAACGAACGAACACTCACCTAACCAACCCATTGCTTTCCATCAGTTTAGAGAGGATCCTGCTCCCTACCTTTTACCATAAACTCCCCTTTACTATTGCTATCTTTCTTCGGTCAGTTAATTTAATAAATTCTTCCTCTCTCTCATTCTTTCGTTTATTCCCGCCTCTCTTTCTTTCTCTCCTTCTCCCTTTCTCTCTCTCTCTCTCTCTCTCTTTTTCTTATGCACACCTGTATGCCAGGGTATACCCTTTTCCCCCTTCTACTTTCATTCCTTCAGGTAACTCATCTGCGATCACCTGGCATACGAATTACCGACTCTACCTTCAAAATTATCAACCGAGCAAAACAGTATTTTAAAAAAACTGTTTTATCTATTGTCGATCTTTTGTTTTATTTTTCCCTCACACCGATTTTTATTTGATTAATTTTAATTTTTTATTTTTATTCGCATGTGTCATTTATTTCTCGATAGTTAATAACAAAAGTAAGCTTAATGAATAATACGAATGCGTTTATTTTATTTATTTGTTTTGTTTATAAATTTGTTCAGTTTTTAGTTTAAATTGTTTTTTTTTTTTTTTTTAACAAAGATAATTTTAAGAAACGATTTAAGGAATGTGTGGATTATTGTACCAACATATATGTTTTTTTTATACATGATTATGGTTCGTATAGAAACACTATGAGGTTTATGTTCCCATTGGAATTCCATGCTCGTTTCAAAAAGTCTTAAGATTGGACGCGATATCATCTTAAAGATAATCCCCGACCAATCCGATTCTTCCTCTAGAAATCAACAGATGTATATCTCATTTAATGAAACTAGATATGACACTATTAATATAATATTTACTCTTGTCTAGGTGTAACAATAAATGATTAATAATAAAATAATCAAATAAATGGATTGTAATCTTTCGTAATCGTTATTACAAATTTTAAAATATCATTTTAAAAATGGCGCCCTTACATCGATAAGATAAATAAAATCAGATGAATAATTTCTATGATATAAGATAAAAAATATTAATGATAATACTATTTACAAACACTAGAATACAAAAAATACAGCATATATATATATATA